GTTCGTCCGTCCACAATTTGTTTGTGGACACTCTACAGGTAAAAATTCTTATCCGATTTTGACGAAACTTGAAATATAGGTTTATCTCCAAAAGATCTTGGCATGTATCGGATCGAAACTTCATGGATAATGGCCCCTGTTTGTACGAAAAATCACGTTTTTAGCTTTTGGACCCTATAGAGGTCACAATTTTTATCCGATTTTGTTGAAACTTGAAATGTAAGTTCATAACCCAAAGATCTCAGTTCCTTTCGATATTCGTGCAAATCGGACCGTAACTTCCTGAATTATGGCCCCTGATTGTACGAAAAATCACGTTCTTAGCTTGTGGACCCTATAGAGGACATAATTTTTTTCCGATTTAAAAAAACGTATTATTATATCACCGTTACACCTTAAGGATGACGGAGTTCGAATTTCGTGTAAATCGACACAAAATTGACAGACAAAATGGGCGGCGTTCGTTTTCAAATAGCGTAAAAATATGGTATATCAAGGTTGTGGACCCTATAGGGGTCACAATTTTTATCCGATTTTGTTGAAACTTAAAATGTAAGTTTATAACCCAAAGATCTCGGTTCCTTGCGATATTCGCGCATATCGGACCATAACTTCCTGAATTATGGCCCCTGATTGTACGAAATATTGCGTTTTTAGCTTGTGGACCCTATAGAGGTCATAATTTTTATCCAATTTAAAAAAACGTATTATTATATCACCGTTACACCCGAAGGATGACTGAGTTCGAATTTCGTGAAAATCGGCCCAAAATGGCCGCCGTTCGTTCTCAAATAGCGTAAAAATATGGTATATCAAGGTTGTGGACCCTATAGAGGTCACAATTTTAATCCGATTTTGTTGAAACTTGAAATGTAAGTTTATAATCCAAAGATCTCGGTTTCTTTCGATATTTGCGCATATCAAATTGTAATTTTCTGAATTACGGCCCTTGATTGTAGGAAAAATCACTTTCTTTTTAGCTTGTTCTCTATCCATCTCTTGAAAATGTGGGCGTATCCTGCCTGGCAGCCGCTGGTCTTCTGATTTTGATGAAACTTAAAATATATGTTTATATCCCAAAGATCTTGGTTCCTTTTGATACTCGTGCAAATTGGACCGTAACTTCCTGGATTAAGTTTTTAACCCAAAGATCCAGGTTCCTTTCGATATTTGCGCATATCGGATTGTAACTTCCTGTATTTTTTTTATGGCCCCTGATTGTACAAAAATTGCTTTTTTTATACGCTCACATGGAAATGTGGGCGTAATTGCCGTCGCCCCCGTCCGTCCATCATCCACAATTTCTTGTGAACACTCTACAGACTACATTTATCATCTGATTGTTTTGAAATTGATATGTTGTTTGCATTGGTGAGATGAAGAAGCCTATTTAATTTCAATAACTTCCGTTATTTTTTCTGGAGTTATGGCCCTTGTTTCACTTTGTTGCACCTTGTGAACGCTCTAACGACAAAAGTTATCAAACAATCTGTATGAAATTTATATGCATCTAAAGTAAAACAAAGAATCCTATTGAATTTCAGCAATTTCCGTTAATTACATCTAGAGTTATATGGCCCTTGTTTCACTTGTTATATCTCGTGAACGCTCTAATGGCAACAGTTATCATCCGATCTGTTTGAAATTGATATCCATCATTGTAATTAGTGAAACAAAGAAGCCTATTGAATTTCCGTTAATTACGCCTTGAGTTATGGCCCTTGTTTCACTTTGTTGTACCATGTAAATGCTCTAACGACTAAAGTTATTATCCCATCTATATGAAATTTATATGTATCGTTCAAATTAGTAAAACGAACAAGCGTATTGAGTTTCAGCAAATTTCCGTCAATTACATCTAGAGTTATGGCCCTTGTTTAACTTAGTTGAATCTTGTGAATGCTTGAACGACAAAAGTTATCACTAATCTGTATGAAATTCCTATGCATCATTTAAATTAGTGAAATAACGAAACCTATTGAATGTCAGCAATTTCCGTCAGTTACGTCTAGAGGAATGGCCCTTGATTTACTTTGCTGAACTTTGTGAATGTTCGAACGACAAAAGTTATCATCCGATCTGTATGAAATTTATATGCATTATTTGAATTAGTAAAACGAAAAAGCCTGTCGAATTTCAACAATTTCTGTAGATTACTTCCAGAGTTACGGCCCTTGTTTTTGTTTTTAAGAACCTTGTGAACCCTCAAGCGACGAAAATTATAATGTAATCTGTATGAAATTGTCTATTAAATTCCCCTAATTACCTACAAAAGAATAAATATGTGACAACCCTTGGCGACTGTTGGACGATTTAGCTGCTGTCGGCGTATGTTTTGTTGCCTTGCAACCTATCTTGTTTAGCTTGTTCTCTATCCATCTCTTGCAAAATGTGGGTGTATCCTGCCTGGTTGACTTTGATGCAACCATAAATTTATGCTTCTATCACAGAGGTCTTGGTTCCTTTCGATATTTTTGCATATCGGATCATAACTTCCTGAATTATGGCCCTTGATAATATGTAAAATTGCATTTTAAGCTTGTGGTCCCTCTAAGAGTTAACGATTTTTATCCAATTTAAAAAAAACGTTTAAATATGTTGAGTTCGAATTTCGTGAAAATCGGACCAAAACTGCCGGACAAAATGGCTGCCCCGTGTACGCTAATAATGTAAACATCTGGTATATCAAGGTTGTGGACCCTCTAGAGGTCACAATTTTGATCTGATTTTAATGAAATTTGAAATATCTGATCGTACCTTCCTGAATTATGGCCCTTGATGTTACGAAAAATTGCTTTTTGTGTAGCTTTTTCTCTATCCATCTCTCGAAAATTCAGGTTCTATTTCAGAGACTTTGTCACAATCAGGATTGGTTAATTTACGGAAATTTAAAGTAAAGTAATTGTAAGAAAAAGTTAGTATGGGAAAATTCATTATTTTTGTCTGGCGGGAAAAGAATTCCATCATAGACCCAGTTCTGTTTTGTTTGTTTACTCACAGACGTGACACTATATTATTATTACTATTCAAGTAATGTTTACCAACACGTAGGTATTTCTTGTAGACACTTGCGAACTATATTAAAAGTTTATATGAAAAAATATTACCTTTCCATCTTAAATAACTTCTTCTAAAATAGGTCGTAACCAAACCAGCCATCGATAGATTATATAAAGAACAAAGACGATCGTGAACTGTGAGACAGTGTTAATAAATCTGTTGTTTATGTATTGAACTCCTTGGAAGTAATTATGGAGTGCCACCTACTGGCGATTCAAGGGGGGATAACACTAAATAACCCCTATTGCGGAACTGGCCCATTTTCATCTGACTTTGATGAAACTTGAAATGCATATTTATAACCCACAAATCTCGCTTCCTTTTGATATTGGCGCATATCGGACCATATCTTCCTGAATTATAGTCCCTGATTGTACGAAAAAATCGCTTTTTTAGCTTGTGGACCCCATAGAGGTCACAATTTTTATCCGATTTAAAAAAAGGTTTGAATATATCACCGTTACACCCTAAGGATGGTTGAGTCTGAATTTTGTAAAAATTGGACCGAAACTGATAGAAAAAATGGCCGCCCCTCGTTCGCAAATAGTGTCAAAATATCGTGTATCGGGGTTGTGGACCCTCTGGAGGTCACAATTTTCATCTGATTTTGATGAAACTTGAAATGCATGTTTATAACCCAAATATCTTGGTTCATTTTTGTTTTTGAACATATCGACTCGTAACTTCCTCAATTATGGCCCCAGATTGTACGAAAAATCGCGATTTTAGCTTGTGGTCCCTCTAGAGGTCCCAATTATTATCATATTTAAAAAAAAGTTCGAATATAACACCGTTTCACCATAATTTTGTCTGAGTTTAAGTTTCATGAAAATCGGACCAAAACTGCCAGACAAAATGGTCACCCCTCGTACGCAAATAGTGTAAACATATGGTATATCAGAGTTGTGGACCTCCTGAATTATGGCCTCTGATTGTACGAAAAATTGCGTTTTTAGCTTGTGGTGTCTCTAGAGGTCACAATTATTATTCGATTTAAAAAAAAAACCTTCGAATATATCACTGTAATGTTTGTTGATTTCAAATTTTCGTGAAAATCGGGCCAAAACTGCCCGGACCAAATGGCTGCCCCTCGTATGCAAATAGTGTAAACATCTGTTAAATCAAGGTTGCGGACCCTCTTAAAGGTCACAATTTTGATCCGATTTCACTGAAACTTGAAATACATGTTTATAACCCAAAGATATTGGTTCCTTTCGATATTCGCGCATATCAGATCTTAACTTCATGAATTATGACCCTTGATTGAACAAAAAATATGTTTTTAGCTTGTGGTCCCTGTAGAGGTCACAATTTTTATCCGATTTAAAAAAACGTGTGGATATATCACCATTACACACTAAGATAATAGCGGATACCTGAACTGATTCCTGGATTATGGCCCCTGATTGCATTTTTAGTTTGTAGATTCTCTAGAGGTCACAATTTTTTTTCCGATTTGAAAAACCGTTTAAATACATCACCATTCCACCATAATGAAGGATTGAATTGGTATTTCCGGAAAATCAAAACCAAACTGCCCGACAAAATGGCTGCTCTTTGTACGCAAATTGTGTAGAAGTGTGTAATACAAAGTTTGTGGACCCTCTAGAGGTCACAATTTTTAACCGATTTTGATGAAACTTAAAACTTATCTTTATATCCCAAAGATCTCTGTCCCTTTTGATATTTGCACATTTCAGGCCATAACTTTCTGGATTATTGTCCCTGACTGTACAAAAAAATCTTAGTTGTTTTTAGCATGTTCTTTATCTAGCTCTTGCAAAATGTGGGCATATCCTGCCTGGCAGCCGCTGATTTTATTATGCCCACAGTCAGACAGCATATAATTGCAAATTTATCATACAAATATAAAACTTATTAAAAGATGATAATGAAATCAATTGAACTATGAAATACGTCTACATTCTAAATGTTTTCAGGATATGATTATGAAAGACAATTTACAAGTGATGATGTTCACACTTTCTGTGATGCTATTGATCAACTGGCCCTGGCCTTCAGTAGCAGGTAAATATATGTTGAAACACTTAATAAATGTATAAATTTCATTCTATTAACTGTTTGTTTAACCATAACACATTTTGGAAAACAATAACTCTGCTTCTAATTGAGCTAAAATGTTCAAACTTAAGTAAGAGTGATGAAACTGGGTGTATAGTTTCATAACATCATTGCCTTGACCAGGCCTCGAATGGGGGGACATCAAGGCCAAAAACATTTTCAGCAGTAGGGCACCGAGGCAAAAATGTGTTTTTTATACGCTCACATTTTCATGTGGACGTATTATGCTGTCACCCCTGTCCGTCCGTCCTCACTTTGTTTGCGGACACTCTACAAGTCGCAACTTTTATCCGATTTTGATGAAACTTGAAATATGGGTCTATCTCCCAAAGATCTTGGTTTCTTTGTATCGGACCATAACTTCAGCTATTATTGACCTTAATTGTACGAAAAATCATGTTTTTAGCTTGTGGACACTCTAGAGGTTACCATTTTCATCTGATTTTTATACACCCACATTGAAATGTGGTCGTATATATTGATGTTGTCCCCGTCTGGTGTCCACAATTGCTTGTGGACGCTCTGGGCGACCTTCGGTTATAATTTTTTCATGACTAGTGGTCTAACTAGTAACCGAACGCGAATGGTCCGGACCATGGACGTGGTAATGTCAATTTATTCTGCTTTATACCTCGACCATAACCCTAAAAAACACCCTTACGCCCAAGGAAGGTTGATAATGAATCGCTATGCTATATGATGTTATATTGTTATTAAACAATAATGCTTTCATGAAATTGAACTTGCGCGACTCAAATTCCTTGTATTTGACTTCGATCCCTGCATTGGCCGAGAAAGTTCATCCCGATTTTCCGGCGTGGTACCCCCTTGTCAGTGATGCAGGACGGAGGGCCTGACAAGGACAGTTGTCTAGTCCTTCGGATGATACGAAAAACCGAGGTCCCGTGTATACATTGGAATGCACGTAAAAGATCCCTTGGCAGTTGGAATTCGATATAAGAGTAGGCGATAGTGCCGCTGCCCGGGCAAAATTTTCCTCATAGAACACTGTATGGCGTATGTCCGTCTTCATTAGCCCAGTTTAGGAGCAGAACAGTAGGACGTTAAACCCCATTTCATTTGTATTTGACATCACATTTTGCATTAGGCCTACATAAATTTTGTAATAATGCGTATTTTCTAGACTTACATAGATTCAGACATAACATACGAGACAAAAATATCTGCTCATAGAAGTGGCAACCATTTAAAATTCTTTCAAGCTTTCCTAAAATCATATACTAAAGAAAAATAGATTCTTTCTAAATATTCTACACTTACGTTTCATCGACACCCGCCATCTTGGAACTACTCCGACCATGCCACAATAGCAGTTTCAGTATTTTCGGACTATGGTCCGGACTAAATGAAATTCGGATTCAGTTAGTTCGACCATAGTCAAGAAATCATGATAACCGAAGGTCGCCCAGGAGGCTAAAGTTATCCGATTAACTTTAACTTTATACACAGTGTTTAAGGTCATGAGACGAAGAAGCCTATTAATTTTCAGCGATTTCCAATAAATATTACTGCCTGAGTTATGGCTCTTAATCACTTTGAAAAATCTTGTGGACACTGTAGAGGCTAAAGTTAATATCCGATTGACTGTAAATTATACACGGTGTTTATGGCTGTGAGACAAAAAAGCCTGGTGATTTTTAATGATTTCCGATAATTACTACAAGAGTTATGGCCCTTCATCACTTTGAAAAATCTTGTGGATTAATATCCGATTGACTTTAAATTTATACACAGTGTTTAAGGTTATGAGACAAAGAAGTCAAGTGATTTTCAATATCTGATAATTACTGCCAGAGTTATGGCCCTTGATCAATTTAAAAAATCTTGTAGACGCTCTAGAGGCTAAAGTCAATATCCGATTACTGCCAGTGTTTAAGGTCATGAGACAAAGACGTCGATTGATTTTCACCAATTTCTGATAATTACTGCTAGAGTTATGGACCTTGATTACTTTGAATATTTTTGTGGACGCGCTAGAGGCTAAAGTTAATATCCGAATGACTTTAAATTTATACACAGTTTTTAAGGTCATGAGATGAAGAAGCCTATTGATTTTCAATGATTTCTGATAATTACTGCCAGACTTATGGCCCTTGATCACTTTGAAATATGTTGTTGATACTCTAGAGGCTAAAGTTAATATAGGCTGGTAGGAGAACTAGAAATTCTTTGTAACTGTGGAAAAAATTGCGATACGAATGATTCTTGATTTTTATGAAATGTATATGTGAGTATGACTTCTGGACAAAAGTCCCCAAAAATCAGCCTCGGGCAAAAAAAAAATTTATAGCCATTTTTAGTTTTGGTATCCGAATTTTGGGAAAAAACAATATATTGTATTTTTTCTTTGACATTGTTACTTTGTATGGTGTCAAAATATAGCCATTAATTTTATCGTCCGGTTACCATGACAGCCAGTTTCATACTTGGTATCCGATTTTCAATGAAAAAATATGCAAAAAAACGAAAAAAATGACGTGTGTATATCTAATTATGGTTCATTTTCTAAACACTGGTCGCAGTAATACAACATAATCATTTCTCGTGGTATTAAGATCAAGTTTAACATCTGTTATAGCGAAAACTGGTCAGAGATTCACCATTCTTTCCACTATTGACACTAGTATCAGAAAATATATATTATTTTTGCATACATGGTCAGGCTGCGATGCGACGTCTTCGACTTTTGGACAGGGCAAACTTTTTGTCTTGAAACGAATGACTAATGAAAAGATACACAGTTTGGCTGATATTATCGGCTCTGAGAAATCGGACCAGGCAGAAGTTGGTGCTGCTGGAATTGAACTCTTCAATATTTTATACGGTGGAAAGAATGGTGAATCTTTGACCAGTTTATGCTATAAAAAATATCAGATAATGGTGTCTAATGCGAAGAAGATTGAACCTGAACGATTGCCACCGACAGAGAGGGCGGCATTTCATCATGCTCTATGGGTTCATGTCCAAATCATCCAATGGTCCAAACTAAACAATTGGTGTTTGGATTCTCTAGAATGGGGTTGGAAAATAGAAAGAGATATTTTCACCCCTATTATGACAGATATAGCTGTTGGGCATGAGAACATTTTTAAATCTATTCGTTGCTCGTGTAAATCTGCTGATTCACAGTGTTCTACGAAAGTCTGTTCATGCCGTAAACATGGTTTAAAATGTGTTACTGCCTGTGGGGTATGTGAGGGTAACTCCTGTCAGAACAAAGAAATCGTTGAGTCTGATGAAGATGGTGATGACTGATCGTATTAGATAACCAGTTGACAATGATTTTGATTATTTGCAGTTCATTATTTTTGCTTATGAAATTATGACGTCCTATGAATATGATATTTTAATATCTCGTGGTATTAAGATCAAGTTTAACATTTAAAAAAATGTTAAACTTGATCTTAATACCACGAGAAATGATTATGTTGTATTACTGCGTGCAGTGTTTAGAAAATGAACCATAATTAGATATACACACGTCATTTTTTTCGTTTTTTTGCATATTTTTTCATTGAAAATTCGATACCAAGTATGAAACTGGCTGCCATGGTAACCGGAAGATAAAATTAATGGCTTTTTCAGATTCTGCTACCCAGAAAACCTATATTTTGACACCATACAAAGTAACAATGTCAAAGAAAAAATACAATATATTGTTTTTTCCCAAAATTCGGATACCAAAACTAAAAATGGCTATAAATTTTTTTGCCTGAGGCCGATTTTTGGGGACTTTTGTCCAGAAGTCATACTCACATATACCTTTCATAAAAATCAAGAATCATTTGAATCGCAATTTTTTCCACAGCTTGGAGGTTCTCCTACCAGCCTAATATCCAATTGACGAAGAAACCTATTCATATATATATGACTGGGACTGGGATGGTGGTCGGTGTGGTTGGGATTGGCCTCTCTGAAAAAACTATTTCCAGGCTTGAGAGGTTTGATCGTTCCTCCGTTGCGTGTTATATCGCTGGTTGTTATTGGCAATGTTTGTCAATTTTCTCCCAGTTTGGCTGTGCACATTCTGGCTTTTATCCCCATTGCTTCTTTGTGCCCCTGGGTGCTTTTTTCTCCCAGCATGGTTGCGCACATTCTGGTTATATATAATTGTTTCGATTAATACACAGAGTTTAAGGTCTTGAGACGAACAGGTATATTGATTTTCAATGATTTTTATACGCCCACATTGAAATGTGGTCGTATATTGTCGTCGCCCCCGTCCGTCCGTCCGATTGACTTTAAATTTATACACAGTGTTTAAGGTCTTGAGACGAAGAAGCCTATTGATTTTCAGCAATTTCCGATAATTACTGCCAGAGTTATGACCCTTGATCACTTCAAAAAATCTTGTGGATGCTCTGGAGGCTAAAGTTAATATCCGATTGAGTTTAAATTTATACACAGTGTTTGAGGTCATGAGACGAAGATTCCTATTGATTTTCTGCCAAAGTTATGGCCCTTGATCACTTTGTAAAATCTTGTGACGCTCTAAAGGCTAAAGTTATCATCCAATTGACTTCAGATTGATACACAGAGTTTAAGATCTTGAGACGAACAAGTATATTGATTTTCAATGAATTTTTATGACTTGAACAGTTAAATCCATGATATTAAAAGCTTTGCATACAAAACGTTAGCATGCGGCAGAACTTTAAAAACCAAAGAAATTCTAATAGTTTTCTGATAATTACTTCATGAGTTGTTGCTCATAATCAGATTTTAGTGTATTATAAATGTTTCATTACCGAAAAAAGTAAAAATATGCGACAGCCCTTGTTGACTGCCCGGACGATTTAGTTGCTGTGGGCGTATGTTTCGTTGCCTGGCAACCTATCTTTGGTAACTTTGAACAGCTAAATCCATGGTATTAAATGTTTTGTATACTAAACGTTAGCATGGAATAAACAAATTCTATTGATTTT